TCCATGCCAGCTCTTCCCCCTCTCAGTGCAGGCACCAACCAACATTCCTGGGCCCAGAGTCCTGAACCTGACCTTTCTTGCCTTCTTTCTCTCTTTGACCCCACATACCAAGAGCCCCGTCATCTCCACTCTTTAAGAGTCTTCCACCAGGGAGGCTGAGGCAGGAGAATCGCTTGAACCCGGGAGGTAGAGGTTGCAGTGAGCCGAGATCATGCCACTGTACTCCAGCCTGGCCACAGAGCAAGACTCCATCTCAAAAAACAAAAAAGAAATTGTCTGTTTTTATGTTTTCCCCTCCCCTGAAGACCGCACACTTCCCTGAGCTTCGTGAAGGCGGGAACGCAGAATCAAATGTCCCAGCCCTTGGTTCAGGTATCCAGGAAATGCAGCCCCAGGTTGACACTCACGTTTCTGGGACCAAACAAGCTCAGGCTGAGCAGGTTGACCATGCCAGTGGCTGCTGTCTTTGGCCTGGCCTGCATTTCCTGGAGCTCCAGGGCTGTTCCCCACCCTTCTTTTTATGCTGCGATGTTGGATGTATGACTTGCTTGATGCCCCACCTGGAATTGGCCCATCTCTAACGGATGCTCAGAGAAATCACACAGAGGCACCTGCTTCCTTACTTTGATTAACTGCGTGAATTCAGGGAACGTTCCTAGCACAGAGATTGGCACAGATCAGACCCTCAGTCAATACTAGAGCCTTTCTTTTCACCCACTTTGGGGAGGGACAAAGTTGACACTGGACAGCTGAACAAACCACTTGTTAGCCCAGATTATGTTGGAATACAGCGTCGCATGCTGGTTTTTTATGATTTAAAGTTGTCTAAATTAACGACCTACCGGGGTCCTCCTTTGGATCCCTGCATTCGAGACTCACTCTATTCAACATAAAATAACTGCGTCAGAAAAGTGTGACCCTGATGACGCCATGTTTCTTCGCAACAGCTGTCCCATCTCAGCAAACTTCACAAGGCCTTTACCTAGTTTAAATCTCAGCCAAATCAAGATGTAAATAGAAATTGAATTTTAAATTGGAGCTGAGTTTTTTCAGAATTGTGAACTCAGTGAGTATGTGGTTGGCACAATAACGGTCCCCGCAGATGTCCACATTCTAATCCTGAACCTGGGAAGATGTGACCCTGCATGGCCAAGAGGAGGTGGGTTGAATTGCGTCCTCTACAAAATGTCTTTATCAAAGTGCTAATCTCCAGATCTCAGAATGTGACCTTGTTTGGAAGTACAGTCGCAGCAGATGGCATTAGGTAAAACGTTATCAATCGGAAGTAGGGTGTGGCCCTGATCCGATATGACAGGTGTCCTTATAAGAGGAGGGTCATGTAAGGACAGACAGAGAGGACCCTGTGGGAAGGTGCAGGTGGGGGCTGGAGTGATGCTTCTACCTGCCAGGGGAGCACCAGGGCTTGCTGGCCGCCATCAGAACCTAGGAAAGAGACCCAGGACACATTATCCCTCAGAGACCTTGGGAGGACCAGCCATGCTGACACCGTGGTTTTGGACTTCTGGCTTTCAGGACTGTGAGAGAATAGATTACTGTTGTTTTAGGCTACCCAGTTCATGATGCTTTTATCGACAGTCCGCAAACTAACAGGTTGGCAGTCAGTTGTGATGCTTTTATTAGCAGTCCTTTTATCTGCAGACTATAAGGCTGGCTGATTGTTGGGTTGGTAATCAGCTGGCCTTAAAGTAGATTATTCTGGATTATCTGGGTAGGTCTGGGGTCATCACAAGCATCCTTCCAAGTAGGAGATGGGGCAGAAGAGAAGGTCAGAGTGACACAGTGTGAGAAATGCTCCCCCGCCACCGCTGGCCTTGAGGGAGGAAAAGGTCCCAAGCCAAGGAATGGGGCAGCGCAGGGCTGGAAAAGTCAGGAAACAGATTCTTCCCTGGAGTCTCCCGGCACCCTGGTTTTACATTTGAAAGACCTCCGGAAGTGTAAGATCATAAATCTGTGTTGTTTTGAGCCATTAAGTTGGGGGTAATTTGTTACAATAGCAGTAAGAATACAAGGTCTCATACGGTCACCACGCTTCCTGAAGCGTTCAGTAGGATGATGTAACTTGAAGCATATGCAGAGGAACTGAGTGAGTGCCAGGCAGGAAAGGAAGCAGAGTCCGTTCTGACTCCTGCAGAAGAACGGGAAAAGAGGTGCCCTGAATTACAGACGTGTTAACTGTGGCTTCATAAAGAATTAGTTTCAGCCAGGCACGGTGGCTCATGCCTGTCACCCCAGCACTTTGAGAGGCCAAGGTAGGTGGATCATTTGATGCCAGGAGTTGAAGACCAGCCTGGCCAACATGCCAAAACTCTATCTCTACTAGAACTTCAAAAATGAGCCGGGCATGATTGCTCATGTCCATAATCGCATCACTCCGGGAGGCCAAGGTGGGCACGTCACTTGAGGTCAGGAGTTGAAGACCAGCCTAGCCAACATGGTGAAACCCTGTCTCTACTAAAAATACAAAAACTAGCCAGGCATGGTGGAGCACAGCTGTAATCCCAGCTACTCAGGAGGCCGAGGCACCAGAATCCCTTGAACTCAGGAGGTAGAGGCTGCAATGAGCCGAGATTGTACCATTGCACTCCAGCCTGGGTGACAGAGTGAGACTCCATTCCAAAAAAAAAAAAAAAATTATAGTATCATGACTTCTAAGAAGAGCAGTTAATTCAAACTTAGCTAATAAATATTGCTATTAAGGTTTTTAGGGGTCATCAGTGGGAAAAAATAGGGCTTACAGTGTGTGTAATTGGAATGTAAGTTGTTGGCCCAGCGCAGTGGCTCATGTTTGTAATCCCAGCACTTTAGAAGGCCAGGGCAGGTGGATCACCTGAGGTCAGGTGTTCAAGACCGGCCCGACCAACATGGAGAAACCTCCTGTCTACTAAAAATACAAAAACTTAGCTGGGTGTGGTGGTGCGTGCCTGGGAGGCTGAGGCAGGAGAATTGCTTGAACCCGGGAAACAGAGGTTGTGGTGAGCCAAGATCATGCAATTGCACTCCAGCCTGGGCAACAAGAGCGAAATTTCGTCTCAAAAAAAAGAATATAAATTGTTTTGCAGAACTACAGTTCCTTCCCAAATGGCTGGATTTGGAGTCAGTGTGATTTTACTGTGGCACTCAGTTGTACAGTGTCATTCAAGTGTCAGAACTGGGCTCCTGAAGCCAGGGTGGCTGGGGTGAAATGATTTCTTTATGCCACCAAAAAAAAAAAAAAAAAGTTTTAAGAAAGTCGTTTTACGTCCGTACCTCATTGAGATTTGTCAACATCAGAAGCATGGAGTCTGCCTGAGTAACAGCTCAAGTGCGCTGCGGAGCGCCATGCACAGGGTCCCCGCAGCAGCCCCTGCAGACGGCCGCTCCTGCGCCACACTCAGCTCCAGCCTTTGGCTGCCTGGGACTTAAGGAACACTTTGTTTCTGTGGCTTTTCTTCACTTACAGCTTGCTCCTAACCACCCACTGATAGCATTGTTTTCATTGCGGCCAAGCACACATACAGTTTGCCCTCTTGAGCGTTTGTAAGTGTCCAGTTCAGCGGCATTAAGTACATTCACCTTGTGCAGCCAACACCACCATCCAACTCCAGAACTTTTCTGCCTCCTTCAGCTGAGCTAACTGTCTATTCCCCCGTCCCCTGAGCCCCTGGCAACCACCATTCTTCTTTGTCTCTATAAATCCGACTACTCCAGGTACCTTGCATAAGTGGAATCACACAGGATTTGTCCTTTGGTCATTGGCTTCTTACTCTTGGCATAAAGCTCATATATTTCATAGCATGCATCAGAATCTCCTTTTTGACAGTAACATAATATTCCCTTGTATGCACATACCACACTTTATCTTTTCATCCTTTGATGGACACTTGGGTCACTTCTACCTTTTGGCTATTGTAAATAATGCTGCTGTGAACACAGGTGTGCAAATATCTTACCACATCATTTTTTTTTTTTTTTGAGACAAGTCTCACTCTGTTGCCCAGGCTGGAGTGCAGTGGCATGATCTTGGCTCACTGCAACCTCTGCCTCCCAGGTTCAAGTGATTCTTCTGCCTCAGCCTTCCGAGTAGCTGGGACTACAGATGTGTGCCACCATGCCCAGCTAATTTTTTTTTTTTTTGGTATTTTTAGTAGAGACAGGGTTTCACCATGTTGGCCAGGCTGGTCTCAAACTCCTGACCTTGTGATCTGCCCACGTCTGCCTCCCAAAATGCTGGGATTACAGGTGTGAGCTACTGCACCCAGCCTGAGCCAGAGTTTTAGAAGAACACCTTCAGACACCAACCTCAACAGCCTCCATCTTCCCACGGCCGACAACCTGCGACCATAAAGCATCACAGCCGCCTAAGCTCTGGAAAGCAGGCAGCACCTGCTTCTGGTTAATCAAGCTGGGACCAGTGTGGGATGGGGTTCCTTTGTCAAGGGCTGTGTCAGTCCCCTGTTGCTGCGGCAACAAACAACTCTGACTTCTGGGTTGCCGACAGCAGCATAGGCAGTGCGGGCTTTCCAGGTGCTGGGACTCTTCTCCCAGCAGAGAGTAGGAAACAGAGTCAGAGCCAAACCGCATAACCACATTCAGAGCTTCTGCCGGAACTCGGCCAGCATCCTGTTCACTCATACCCCGTCGAAAGAAGCAGGTCCTGTGACAACAGGCGGGTATGTAATCCCCTGCAGGGAGGCCAGATACTCCCGTCTGCCGTAGGGGTGTTGGTTGCAGAAAGATGTCTGTGCCAAGGAGCCCATCCAACCAGAGGACCACTCAAATCGCTCCCTTTGTGCCGTTACTCTGAATTTCGTCCAAGGTTGACTGAAAAGCTTCCTGAGTCTGCCTCCCTCTTGCAGTCTAAAGGTTTTCCATTAATCCCCAGCAGTCTTTGGAGATTGCCCACCACAAGGCAGCAATTCCAGGATCCAGCTGGAAGGCCCCTGGAGAGGCTGGCCTCTCACCCGAGTCGTTCTCTCTCTGTCTTTCCTCCTGTCTGGCAGGTGGGTGGCAGGCCCGTGGAGCTCCTGCTCGGCGACCTGTGAGAAGGGCTTCCAGCACCGGGAGGTGACCTGCGTGTACCAGCTGCAGAACGGCACACACGTCGCCACGCGGCCCCTCTACTGCCCAGGCCCCCGGCCAGCGCCAGTGCAGAGCTGCGAAGGCCAAGACTGCCTGTCCATCTGGGAGGCATCTGAGTGGTCACAGGTGGGTGCCTGGGCTTGCCGCCAAGACTCAGCCACAGGGACCCCGGCACAGTTCCATGGTGTTGGTGACATTCTGGTGCCTCCTAGCCCTCATTCACCCCCAGGTCAGCTCAAAGATGTGTTCTAGCGCAAATGTTCTTAATATCCATCCAGGACAGCGCAGTGGCTCACGCCTGTAATCTCAGCACTTAGGGTGGCCGAAGCAGGCAGATCACAAGGTCAGGAGTTCAAGACCAGCCTGACCAACGTGGTGAAACCCAGTCTCTACTAAAAATAGAAAAATTAGCTGGGCATGGTGGCGTGCGCCTGTAGTCCCAGCTGCTCAGGAGGCTGAGGCAGGAGAATTGCTTGAACCCGGGAGGCAGAGGTTTCAGTGAGCTGAGACTGCACCATTGCACTCCAGCCTGGGCGACAGAGCAAGACTACGTCTTATAAAAAAAATTTCATCTCAGATAACAACGTGGCTGCAAAAACATAGATACCATGTCTTCGATGATGTATATGTTGACACCACAGTGAAGGACTGTTCCATCCCATTTCCTCTGAAAATTCCCACATCAAGATGGGACAGACAGATACTGACCGACTTTTTAATTTCCCTTCAGGTATGTCTAACGGTGGTGCGCTCAGGCTGGGAAGGTGGTTTCAAAGGTTTTCCTTTACTCCCCCAGCAGTCTGTAGATTGCAAGAGTCAGATGCCAGGAGGGACAGCTTCTAGTGTGCACGTTGGAGTTACAAACCTCATGCCGTAAAATGTTTTGGAAAGAGGTGGATTAAGCCTCGGTCTTCACTTTGAAGGCTGGTCCTGGGAATGCGATTTCATCCTTGGTGACATCATCCTTCAGGACTCTGCATCGACTTTGCATTAGTGATTTTGACTGTTTGGCTATAAAACTACAAAAAAAAAAAATAGCTGAATAAAGGGCAGGTTTCCCTCAGGTCTTCCACCAGCATGATCTAGGAAACTCGGGGAGGCTCATCCAAGACACTCTTCAGTGTGGAAAATATTTTTAAAGTTCTCTCTATTGCCAAACAGTTGGAATTATTTTGAATAAAAAAGTACCCAGCCCATTTTTAATGAACGAAAAGTCTGCCATTGGCTGCTCTAAGACCGAGGTTCGTTTCAAACAGATGTTGGCGCGTATTCAAGATCAGAATCTGTATCTGCGCTTCATGGTATTTTGGGAAAAGAGAAGTTGAGCTTCTGTTGATTTTTTTTCTTTATATATGTTTACGTTTGTCAGCTTTAACATTCAAGGGACTGCCTTTCGGCCCCTTGCTGGAAGGGTCCAGGCAGGTGTTCAGTCCCCGCCCCTTTCCAGTACCCCAGGTGAGCCTTCCGGTTTTAATCGCCTCACTTTTGAGCTAAATAATTGTGCTTTGATCAGATCAAAACCGTAAATTTTTCACTCGGTGGTGAAACCCTGTGTCTATTAAATACAAAAAATTAGCCGAGCATGGTGGCGCTTGCCTGTAAACCCAGCTACTTGAGAGGCTGCAGCAAGAGAGCACTTGAACCTGGGAGGCAGAGGTTGCAGTGAGCTGAGATTGCACCACTGCACTCCAGCCTGGGCCACAAGAACAAAACCCATTCTCTGGGGGAAAAAAAAAATCCACTCAGATTGTTTTTAATGAGGGGGAAAGAAAACTGCCTCCCCACCAAGCCTCATGTCATCAGTTACCATTACAGCGTTGAAGATCTCCACGTTTGGAAAGTGGGAGAAAATGGGAGCAAGATTGAAAGAAATTTCTCTGTGTCTGCATCGGTGTGCACACCTAATGCTAATCTTGAATGAACACCTCACCAGTCAGCCTAACTCTGGCTTAGCCCAGGCTTCAGTAGAGTGCTTCCTTCTGAACATTTAACTTGGAGTCAAATCATTCCCCACGGGAAGCTCACGAAGCTGGCACTTCTGCCACTCCAGGTGCTGAAGCCCCAAAGCGAGTCTTTCTTCCCCTGGAAGCAAATGGGTCTCAGCTTCTCGAGGGAGAGTTTTTATTGACGTGGTCGCTTTTATCTGGCCAGCTATGTTGATTGCTCTCACTGCCTCCTCCCCAGCTTCTTCCTGACTTTATTAGAGGGAGGATGTAATATCCAGAGGGAAGGAAAATGTAGTGAGTTCCTCCTATCCTCAGCTTACAAGCCCTGCCCCCAATGGGAAGCAAAGAGAGAAACCCTCCTCGGCCCCTTGAGAGCTGGAGCCGACAGCAGCAGCCTGCAGTACCACACGGAGAAAGCCTTCAAGAGAATGGGCTGCTGGTTAGAGTTTAGCTAAGGGTCAGGGTTTGGTTAAGAAATAGGCTGGGCCAGGCGCAGTGGCTCATGCCTGTAGTCCCAACACTTTGGGAGGCCGAGGTGGGAGTTTGAGACCAGCGTGGTCAACATTGTGAAACCCCATCTCTACTAAAAATATAAAACGTAGCCGGGCGTGGTGGCGCCTGCCTATAATCCCAGCTGCTTGGGAGGCTGAGGCAGGAGAGTCACTTGAGCCCAGGAGGTGGAAGGTGCAGTGAGCTGAGATCACACCACTGCACTCCAGCCTGGGTGACAGAGCAAGACTCTGTCTCAAAAAGAAATAGGCTGGACATTGAGAGCTTGAATTTCAAGGGGAAGAGGCGAGGAATGCAGAGTAGAGACCTGGCAAGAATAAACTTAGAAACAGCACATGGCTCCTGGTTGCAGAGAAGCAAGTTGTGTGGATGCTGGTGCCAGGGCTGGCCCACAAGCCAGACAGTGAGGACAGAGTTGCTGAAATGGTCAGCAAACCTTGCCACGCAGAGAAGCAAGGGGTGGCCCTCCAGTGCAGTGACCCGGGGCTCCTGCCCAGGACATCTGCATGCCAAGCCCACCATGGACTGACCCCTGGCATCCAAGGACCCTTTAAACCAGCTCCACACTCTGCACACAGCTCCTCTCCCCACTCCCTGCAGGGGACATTGCAGCCAGTTCTGAAGCATGTGCATTTCAAACCAGTGTAAATTATCCTTGGAAGAAAACCCCCTGGGACCTTTGGACAAGGAGCTGAATTGAATTCATAAGAAAGAGAAAGTTAGGTCATGTGTTGGGATAAATGTTAATAACAGATATCAAGAATAACGTTTGTCCTCTATGTACCTTTTTTCCAGTGGACACGTTGGGATTTTTTTTTAAGAGACAGGGATCCCTATGTTGTCCAGGCTGGTCTTGAACTCCTGGCCTTAAGTGATCCTCCCACTATAGCCTCCCAAAGTGCTGGGATTATGGGTGTGAACTACTGCATTTGGCCTAGAACTTTTTAAAGTTGAGCTGCTTGTAGCTCAGGAGTCACTGCTGTAGCCTGCCATGTTTTTGCTGAACTGAGCAAGTATGAAACCGCCTTCGCAGAATCCAGCCTGAGCACTCCATCTTTCCAAGTTACGTGTTTGTGTCTGGGCAGGGACGGGGCTCCCCGGGCCAACTTGTTTGTGAGTTTCATCCTCCCAAGGCTCTGGGTTGGCTCTGCCTGGGCTTCCTTCTGCTTTGTTTTTGGAGGTGCTAAGTACTCTTGCCAGCCCAGGGTCAGTCCCTCTCCAAGTTCCATGGCGGGTGTATCAGGAGCAGGTTCCAGACGCACCCCAGAGCACCCATCTGCTGTGTTAACTCCATGCCGTGCCTCTGTCTCTTCACTCCTTACTGCTGGGAATCCTGAACTCTCGAGAGCATGCACATTGTTCATCATCCCCAGGTCCCCTTCCCAATGCCTGTTCCCACATTTCCTGCAAGTATAGAAACTACCACATCGGGCATTCCTCTGTCACCATTCTTGGTGTCTGTGTTAAAACATTTACTGGAGCTCTCTGAGAAGGCTTGCCACCTGCCCCACAAGAAAGTCACCGATGGCTTTTCTTTCCGTCTGCCTCCTCCTCCTCCCCGCTGGATCGAGGTCTTTCTTTGACCCAGCTGGCCCAAGCAGAGCACGTGTACCTGGGGGCCGGCTGGGAAGATCTGGGCCGTGGGACTCAGCTTCAGGCCCTCAGCTTGCTCTGGCTGGCCCCCACCTTGCTCTGGCTGGCCCTCACCTTGCTCTGGCTGGCCCCTGGCCCCTGCCTCACTCATGGCACCATCACACACACCTGCCATTTGAACTCATGTATTGCATTAAGATTTTGGACCTCACAAGTGGCCATTGAATTCCACTTCCCTCATGAGACTTATGTGTACCCAGGTTCTTCCCACTCCCGACTCCTATGTCCTTTCCCCAACACTGGCCACTGGGCCAGGGCCCCAGCTGGGACTGTGTGCCTAAGACCCTGCAGATCGTGAGCTTTCTGAGGACAGAAGCGTGGGTCTCATCTCTGCATCCTCCCCACAGTGCATCTGGCAGGTGGGAGGGAGTCCAGAATCGAACTGGAACTGGATTAAGTATCCCATTGGTGTCTTGCAGTGTTCCGCCAACTGTGGCAAAGGGGCACGGAAACGGACCGTGACGTGCACCAACTCCCAAGGGAAATGTGACGCATCCATGAGGCCGAGAGCCGAGGAGGCCTGCGAGGACTACTCAGGCTGCTACGAGTGGAGAACCGGGGACTGGTCTACGGTGAGAGCAGCCTGCTGGCATTTCTCTCTGTGCCGCAGTGCAGGGGGCTCGGGGGTCGGGAACTCGGCTCTTGGGATGGGTCCCAATTCCAGGCAGCAGTCCCAGCGTAACTAGGCACATTCTCTTTTCTTCCACCCACTGCGCCTACCCGGGACCCCGTGTGCTTCCTCCCCTGCTTCTGCCAGGCTGCACCAGCACTGCCCCTTGGGGCTCACTGGTAGAACCCCACTGCTTCACGGGCGTGCGGAAGGAACCCAGATGCAGCCCAAGGCAGGACACGGGTGCCCTGGGTGCCACGTTTGTCATGCCGTGTGGTGCACTGGCAGGCCTCAGCCTCCTGCCCTGGGGACACCTGGGGCAAACATCACTTCCATTCACCCCCAGGACCCCTGGGCAAGGGCCTGCAGATGCAGGGGCAGATAGGACATGGGGCCTTGGGGTGGGAGCAGGGAGGGGCATCACGGAGATGCACGAGGAAGAGCAAGGGTGAATAAAGGGCCATTGAATGTTTCTCCAAGTTAAAAAAAAATGCTTTGTTGTTGAAGCCCTTTACCCTTTCATCTGATGTCTTTGAATGACTCCTGTGTTCTGGGAACCGAGGTGAGCACCACTGCCACCTGTAAGAACCTTCTAGTGGGCTTTCTGTTGTTTGTTTTTTAATTGTACTTTAAGTTCTGGGTATATGTGCAGAGCATGCAGGTTTGTTACTTTGTTACGTAGGTATACATGCGCCATGGTGGTTGGCTGTATCCATCACCCCGTCATGTACATGTACATTAGGTATTTCTCCTAATTCTATCCCTCCCCTAGCCTCCCAACCCCCAACAGGCCCCGTGTGTGATCTTTCCTTCCCTGTGTCCATGTGTTCTCATCGTTCAATTTCCATTTGTGAGTGAGAACATGTGGTGTTTGGTTTTCTGTTCTTTTGTTAATTTGCTGAGAATTAGTTTCCGGCTTCATCCATGTCCCTGCAAAGGATATCAACTCAACCTTTTTTATGGCTGCACAGTATTCTATGGCGTGTATGTGCCACATTTTCTTTATTGAGTCTATCATTGATGGGCATTTGGGTTAGTTCCAAGTCTTTGCTATTGTGAACAGTGCTGCTAAACATACGTGTGCATGTGTCTTTATAGCAGAATGATTTATAATTCTTTGTGTATATATCCAGTAATGGGATTGCTGGGTCAAATGAAATTTTTATTTCTAGATCTTTGAGGAATCACCACACTGTCTTCCACAATGGTTGAACTAACTTACACTCCCACCAACAATGTAAAATCATTCCCATTTCTCCACATCCTCTCCAGCATCTGTTGTCTCCTGATTTTTTAATGATCACCATTCTAAGTAGTGTGAGATTAAAAATTTAATTTCTTTGTAGATTCTGGATATTAGCCTTTTGTCAGATGGGTAGATTGCAAAAATTTTCTCCCATTCTGTAGGTTGCCTGTTAACTCTGATGATGGTTTGTTTTCTGTGCAGAAGCTCTTTAGTTTAATTAGATTCCATTTGTCTATTTTGGCTTTTGTTGCCATTTCTTTTGGTGGTTTAGTCATGAAGTCTTTGCCCATACCTATGTCCTAAATGGTATTGCCTAGGTTTTCTTCTAGGGTTGTTATGGTATTAGGTCTTACATTTAAATCTTTAATCCATCTGGAGTTAATTTTTGTATAAGGTGTAAGGAAGGGATCCAGTTTCAGCTTTCTGCATATGGCTAGCCAGTTTTCCCAACACCATTTATTAAATGGGGAATCCTTTCCCCATTGCTTGTTTTTGTCAGATTTGTCAAAGATCAGATGGTTGTAGGTGTGTGCTGTTATTTCTGAGGCCTCTGTTCTGTTCCATTGGTCTATATATCTGTTTTGGTACCAGTGCCTTGCGTTTTTGATTACTGTAGCCTTGCGGTATAGTTTGAAGTCAGGTAGCATGATGCCTCCAGCTTTGTTCTTTTTGCTTAAGATTGTCTTGGCTACATGGGCTCTTTTTAGGTTCCATATGAAATTTAAGGTAGTTTTTCAAATACTGTGAAGAAAGTCAATGGTAGTTTGATGGGGATGGGGATAGCATTGAATGTATAGATTACTTTGGGCAGTATGGTCATTTTCACAATATTGATTCTTCCTACTATGAGCATGGAATGTTTTTCCATTTGTTTATGTCCTCTCTTATTTCCTTGAGCAGTAGTTTGGAGGCTCTCCTTGAGGTTCTTCAACTCCCTTTTAAGTTGTATTTATAGGTATTTTATTCTGTTTGTAGCAATTGTGAATGGGAGTTCACTCATGATTTGGCTGGCTGGCTGTTATTGGTATATAGGAGTGCTTGTGATTTTTGCACATTGATTTTGTATACTGAGACTTTGCTGAAGTTGCTTATTTTGAGCTGAGACGATGGGGTCTTCTAAGTATACAATCATGTCGTCTGCAAATAGAGACAATTTGACTTCCTCTTTACCTATTTGAATACGCTTTCTTTCTTTCTCTTGCCTGATTGCCCTGGCCAGAACTTCCAATACTGTGTTGAACAGGGGTGGGAGAGAGGGCATCCTTGTCTTGTGCCGGTTTTCAAAGGGAATGCTTCCAGTTTGTCCATTCAGTATGATATTTGCTGTGGGTTTGTCATAAATAGCTCTTACTATTTTGAGATATGTTCCATATATGTAGTTTATTGATAGTTTTTAGAATTTGTCAAAGGCCTTTTCTGCCTCTATTGAGATAATCATCTGCTTTTTGTCTTTGGTTCTGTTTATGTGATGAATTACATTGATTGATTTGCATACGTTGAACCAGCCTTGCATCCTAGGGATAAAGCCGACTTGATTATGATGGGCAAGCTTCTTGATGTGCTGTTGGATTCGGTTTGCCGGTATTTTAATTGAGGATTTTCACATTGGTGTTCATCAGGGATATTGACCTGAAATTTTCTTTTTAGTTGTGTCTCTGCCAGGTTTTGGTATCAGGATGATGTTGGCCTCATACATGAGTTAGGGAGGATTCCCTCTCTTTCTGTTCTTTGGAATGGTTTCTGAGGGAATGGTACCAGCTTCTCTTTGTACCTCTGCTAGAATCCGGCTGTGAAACTGTCTGGTCCTGGACTTTTTCTGGTTGTAGGCTATTAATTGCTGCCTCAATTTTAGACCTTGTTGTTTGTCTATTCAGGGATTCGCTTCTTCCTGGTTTAGTCTTGGGAGGGTGTAAGTGTCCAGGAATTTATCCATTTCTTCTAGATTTTCTGTTTTGTTTTTGTCGAGATGTTTATAGGATTCTCTGATAGTAGTTTGTATTTCTGTGGGATTGGTGGGGATATCACCTTTATCATTTTTTATTACATCTATTTGATTCTTCTCTTTTCTTCTTCATTAGTCTGGCTAGTGGTTGATCTATTTTGTTGATCTTTTCAAAAAACCAGCTCCGGGATTCATTTTTTTGAAGGGTTTTTTGTGCCTCTGTCTCCTTCAGTTCTGCTCTGATCTTAGTTCCCTCCTCTGTTGGGGTCCGTCCCCGGCCGAGGACACTGCCAGTTTCCCCAGACAGACCTTCAGCGTTCCGGAGACGCCTGTGGGGCAAGAGGGAGCCTTTTGCCTGGCCATCTTCTTCACCAGCCATGCTGTGGTGCTCGCAGGCTTTCAGAAGAGGCAGCGCTGCAGCCACTGTGCCCACTTTTGCCACAGGCCATTTGACAAGCTGTCCCCGCAGTAAGAACAAGAGGGATGTGTGGGATGCGAGGGCCTCCGTGACATCCTGGTCGCTGTATGAGTCCACTTTGCGTTGCTATAAAGGAGTGCCTGAGACTGGGTCATTGACAAAGAGGTGTCTTTGGCTCGTGGTTCTGCAGGCTGTACAGGAAGCTCCGTGCTGGCATCTGCTTCCAGGAGGCCTCAGGAGGCTTTACTTGCAGCAGAAGGTAGAGCTGGCATGTCACATGGTGAAAGAAGGAGTGAGAGAGAGAGAGGGCGGAGGTCCCAGACCTTTTTTAAACAACCAGCTCTTGGTGAACTAATAGAGCGAGAAGTCGCTCACGACCGAGAGAAGGGCATCACGCCATTCCTGAGGAACCTGCCCCGTGACCCAGACAACTCCTACCAGACCCCACCTCCAACACTGGGGGTCACATTTCAGCATGAGATTTGGAGGGGACAGACAAACTGTATTAGCCGCTGTCTGGAGCTGGCATCAGGTGACATCTGATTGTATGCAGCCAGCCGCTGCGGAGAGAGCTTAGCAAGGGCCTCGAGCCAGAGCCTGAACCTGGGGCTGAGCTGCGCAAAGGTTGGTTTTACCAAGCAGAGAGGGCCCGCAGGGATGAGAAACTAGACTTGGCACGTGTGTGTGTGGCATAGCCAGAGCACGCTGGTGGGGCCTGCATAGACGTGAATGGAGAGATGCCCATCCTAACTGTCGACCTCACCACCCTCCCTCCTGCTGCCATCACCAGGGAGCGGTGGGGGCTGGGCACCACCCACACCACCTGCCCCTCACTGTCTTCCCCCAGGTGGAGAAACGTGCCTGTTTTTCCCTCTCTGCTGTATCTGGAGACGTGGGAAGAATATATTTCCCTGGAGTGGTGGTGGGGACCCCAGGTCCTTACTCCCTGGAGACTAGGCCACTCTAAGTAAGATTCCACAGGGTGGGGCTTCCCCAGCGTGTTTTCTGGTTCGGACTCTTTGGGTTTACTGTATGGTTGATGTGTCATCTTTGCTGTAGCTTGCGAATGGCACCTTGGTTGCACCCATGCGGTCCACTGCATTTTTAAAGCAGTCATCCAGGGGTCCTTTCCTACAGCCAGCCTCCAAACCTTGTCATGTGCCGGCCTTTGAAGGCAGCAAATTGCCTAACAGGAAATCAGAGAGAAGGCTGAACACTATCTGCGTGTCACCGTGTCTGTGGAAGGTTGTTCGTGTAGCCAGCTGTCCAGTTTCTAGCTCTTGGGAGGCAAACTCCACAGCAGCAGCATGCTGCGTTGAGCAGGTGTCACTCACTCTGGCGCAAGAGAGGAAGCTC